ACGGAGCAGCTGGTAGTTTTGAACTGCTGACCTTGCAGTTCGCAGCTCGATTCATAACCACTACGCTACCAGAGCTATATATTAGCTAATTTTTATTATGTATTAGGAGTTATGTAATGATGTAATGTGGCAGTTATGTAATGTTTCCCCATGACATTCTCTGATGTGATAAAAATGAATTAAAGGATTAATTATGGGATGCAGTACCCTTAGTCCTATCACAGACCTGATTCAATGTAAGTGGAATTTTCCTGGCATATGGCCTGAAGCATCTTTTATCTCATAAGAGATTAAAAAAAAAGAGAAAGAAATAGTCGAGAGAGAGACCTATGACCACCATGAAAGAAGAGGCAGGAATAGAGTGAATCCTTTGGTCCTGGGATGCCTACACTGAGAAACTCCTAGAACCAGGGGAAGAATGATGCCAACACAGATGGAGATCTCCAAGGAATGTTGAGCCTACAGATGCTGAAAAGGGCTAAGGACTTTCCTCCTAAACTGTGTGTGAGCCAACAGATAGAAAACCTCTAGGCTGTTGCCATGGTGACAATAGCAATGGGTTCAAATGTAACAACAATTGTGATGATAGCACAACACTGGGCAGTGTTTCATTCCAGTGTATATTGGGTCACTATGAGTTGAAACTGGCTCGATGTCACCTAACAACAACCACAGGCTGTCAGACCAATAAGACTGGTCTTTTTTGTGTGTGAATTTGAGTTTTTGTTCACAATTTTCTCCCGCTTTGCTGGGGATCCTCTGTTGTGATCCTAGTCAGAGCCAAGTTTTTTGTGTGAGTGATGATTTTTGCGTAAATATTCATAACAGTTAAAGTTTATTTCATTCTTCCAGATACTTGTTTGTGTTGTCTAACAAATGCTTTTAATCTTCATTCAACCTTCCTTGAAAACTAATAGCTAAAATTTATTGTATCCATACTGTGTTCTAGGCATTGTTCTAATGTGTGCAGTGAAGACACAGATTTGGTTTAAAAAAGATGGGGAGAGGATGGATTTGTGACGAACAGTAGAGAGGATGCTAATCTTTTTTTTTTTTTTTTTTTTTTTTTTGCCATTGTAACTGACAGGATTGACGCAATTATTTACTTTGTTCTATAAAGAAATGAAGAAGTGTAGTGATGCCAACAGTATATTTGAGGTGAAAAACCATAGTCACTTCATGTAAACTTCTTTTGCAGATGAATAAGGCTAGAGGTTAAAGGAGTACTAGAGCTTGCTCATTATTATGCACACACGCTCTATGTCAGCATAAAGAAAAATAGGTGCTTTATCTGAATTCTTTGCTTCTTCTATGCCATTTAAGATGTGAAATCAATTAGAAATAACATTGTTTCCAAAAATAACGCAAAAAATAGCTCTGTGGGTTAATGTGCTGGACTGCATAGTTGGTAATGAACCACAAGGTTGGCAGTTCAAGCTTACCAGCTGATCCTCAGAAACCCTGTACAAGGTGGTTATGAATCAAAACTGACTTGATAACACTTAACATAACAACAATAACCAAACTGAGGGCTCTGTTGGATAAGCACTAGACTACATATTATAGGTCAGCAGTTCGAGTCACCAGCCTCTCTGCGGGAAAAAGATGAGGCTTTAGACTTCCACAAAGATTCATGGCATCAGCAACCTTATACAGGGTTGTCTGTGTTAGAATTCACTGGTAGGAATGTGACAACAACAATAACCAAACAACGTAAACATTTTCTGTAACACAAAACAGAGGACTGAAGTAAAATGCTGATATATGTCAATCAGATAATTGGACTTATTTTTGAAATAATATTCTTGCTGCATACAAAACACTTCTTTAATAAACTTTTTGAATTGCACAATCGGGATAGAAGAAGGTTGAATTTTTAAAAACATGATATATAACTTGGGTTTTTAAAAGATGAATGCTCCTCATATGATCCAAGAGTAAATAGACAAAGGTTCACAAAACAGACTAAATGCTTTAGAGAAAGGAAGA